CAATAGTCAAAGTCGCATTTTTCTAGCGTTTTATTGGTTAAGAGCATATCACGTGAGAGTGACGAAATTAGGCTGTCTCCCTCGCAACAGCGCCAGAGGGAGATAATACGTTATCGACCGGCGAATAACAAAAAAATTCACGTGCGCCGTCACGTGAAGATGCGACCTTTGGACATTCCTAGTACGTAATTAAAACTTTCGCTTCAAGTAACTGCAGTGTAGCCAGTGTTTAAATTTGATGTTTTAACAGTAAAATATTTCATGTATTTACGTTCATTTATTCTTTAATTTGTTGTTTCTTTGACTATTGATATATATAATAAATAATTATATATATATCAATAGTCAAATAATATTTACTACAGTACTAATATTTACTATAGTACAAATATTATTTTAAAATATATCAATAATATTTACTAAGACCTCGGGAAAGCAGTGTGTTTTGTGGACCGTCGACCGTCGATGTTTCCCTCGGCTTCGCCTCGGGAAACATCGACGGTCGCGGGTCCACAAAACACACTGTTTCCCTCGGTGTCAGTAAATAATTGATAATTGTCTACCATGAGATGTCAGAGTCAAATAATAATATCAAAATACTTAAGTAGGAAGTGTTAGGAAAATTAAAAATCTAAATATGTCAACATGAAACATTGGCAAAGTCTATAGCATTCTAACTAAACACTTCCCTTGACGAATAAAATTGTCCGGCATTATAGGCAAGATAACATTTAATAACAAAATGCTGAAAATTGGGCTCATTGGAGTGAAATGGGTAATTCCAAAAACAATCAAACCCTTGCCGGGGTGTCTCTAAAATATATAAAATGTGACCCAAAGATTGTTACATATTTTATAGTAAACTATAAGGACCTTAAACTGTTTCAAGTTAGGAACACGTCTATATTAAAACTATTAATCAAGTTGCCACACATGACACAACACATCAAATTGATATTTTTATCTATTCTAAACTGACCCACCTATATATGAATAAATATTAGAAGTTACGAAAGCACCAGTTGATTTGAAACAAGTACTAGTCGATAAAAACTCTCAAACCATATTCCGCTGGGACTTGCCTAGGTAGGCATATGAGAATTGAATCCCAATCTGTCATACACAACAGGTGGGAAATTTGTCTGAGCATGCGCGAGTAAAATGAGCCAAGCAATTGCGTGGAATACACGCAACGCGTGTTTACAAAAAGGCACAATTGTGTAAATATTGCCAAATGTTTGTACAAAATAAATGACTGTTTTATGTTGAAAGAGTGGACATGATCTAAATTAATCATACAGAATTTTTTAGTGACGTTCTATTTCAGTACCCTGCCATTGTCTCTGGCGGGCTGTCCGTGTGCATTCGATCTGAAACAGTTGCTACTTTGCTGTCGAAGAATTTCGAATGTTTACATGAAAATAGAGGCAAGTCATGCATTTTACAACCTCTCAAACTGTATGAGCCCCTATTTTTACGCTTATACCTAAGATGTCAAATAAAAGTACATGAAACAGAGAACATTTTTAGAAAGTTTTATTGTGAGGCCACGGCCAGTTTTTAAGATATCTTTATTTCTGTTCCGGTTATCACCAAAATTACACAAAAGCCGGGTTTGAATATACAACAAATTTTGAATCTCATCAAGCACAAAAATACTTAACGTGTAACCAAAATATGCTCATGAAATCGAAATTAATAGCTAAATTTTCAAACTAGACCCTTCTCAAAGCGGTTTTCATGAAGGAAGTTCACATTTCGGCCTTTGATTCTTGGCAAAAATTTGACCACAACACGTGCGAAGCAACTGGGTCTCAAAGACTGAACTAAAACATTGTGAGCCCCTATTTTCCTGACGATATGTTTGATACCTACAAACGCCGAAAAGTTTTTCTTTTCATTTAGCTATATTTGAAATTGAGGCCACGGGCTATTTTTGAGAAAATACAGTTCAAAGTCAAGCTATTTTTACATATTTTCAAAATTTGTCAAATTTCGCGAGCTTGTATTTTTAACTTAGACAGCTGAAGTTACATTAAGAAACATAGGATGGAAAATTTGAGGCATATAAAGTTAATTTCAACTTACATTTCATTCTCAAATCACGTCTTTCTTCGTTTATTACGGTTTTAAACAAGCCATAGATCGACGTATACGGTATTTACTCCCATGTTCACGTCGCCATATGAACTTCTTCCAATCACTCGATTACAAAACAATCATCCCAAAACAAAGAATTCATGATCGACTTTTAAAAGAATAACCAATAATTTGTAAATCGTTGAATGGAAAGCAAAAAATCGTCAGCTAAAACAGCTTCTTGCTAACTTTCTGCTTTGTTTTGAATGTAAAATGGAATGAGCTTTGTTTCTGCCCGCAATTTTTTGGTCAGCGACGACAAATTTCCCACCTGTTCTGCATGGTAATATTTTACCCAAGGTGTGATAGATTTGCATACTGACGCATATATTTAAACGTGTTTATTAGACAGTTTATACACTATTGTTATTTGTTTGACTCATTCCGTGCTTTGATTACTGACCATCGAAGCCCAAAGGTTATGAATGTAACAATTTACTTTATTACATGTGATAATTCTTACAATCGTACCTTTACAAGCTGTTTACCCTGCCTGTGAGCATCACAACAGAAGTTGCATGTTCAACCATACAAACCATACCACAAGACTCTACACTACACCCTTTCAATAATTACGTCACAAGTTGCTCCTTGGCCCAGGAGCCTCGTTTTCATGAATCGTGAGCGAATTGTGTTTCTTCTTGATTCATGAAGCGAGGCTCCCAGACAAAGGAAATACTTGTGACGTAATTATCGAAAAGGTGTATTGAATTGTATAATGTCAATGTTATATAAAACATTAATCGTTTGGAACACCACATACACCCTAGGAGGAATCGCATTCGAGAATGGAGTTCACTACATGGAGATACAAATATCATGGCAGGTGGTATGATTATGATGGCATTTCTCTTATGGACTAATCATTAATGTTTCTGCACCTTCACGGGCACGGGTAGGATTTACATTTGCCTCTACTGTTTATTTCAATGAGTATGTAGAAGCAATCATGTAGAATCAATATAGATGCACTATTCTACCTTATTACTTCTTATCACCATGCAGTGATAATGCATACTAATTGAAGAGGTATACGCTCACTTTTATTTCACAATAAATCCTATAAAATAATGTTAGTATTCAGGACATAAAAACTACATTGCTGTTGTACAGTATAAAGATTATGAGAATTCTTTTAGTGGACGCTCTTGTGTCAGGAAGATGCAGTCATCTTTTGCTGACAGATTAAGAAGATGTAGTCATCTTTGCTTAATCAGTTAAAGCTGAAAGTTGTATCATAATTATTACACAGCAACTTATATTTAAATGAAAAGTACAATAAATTGTATAATTTTATCATAAGCTACTATTCAAGGCTTCCAAAACTCATTAATAATTCATGAAGCAATTATCCAAATCTTGAGTAAGAAATTAGTCACGTGCATACGTCTTTATACCAGCTAAAGAACACTTTAACAAAAGACCATTGTTATGCAAACTATATAAAGATTGTTATATAAAGATTTTTATATAAAGATTTTTATATAAAGATTTTTCTTATTCAGATTTGACTTATCATGCAAACGTTTTTGAAGCCATTTAAAAAACTCGCAGGTCGTGTTTTATTAGGTCTAAAGCCACTCGCGCTGCGCGCTCGTGACTTTAAACCTAATAAAAGTCTCCTGCTTGTTTTTTAAACAGTACATAAAAACTACATTGCTGTTGTACAGTATAAAGATTATGAGAATTCTTTTAGTGGACGCTCTTGTGTCAGAAAGATGCAGTCATCTTTTGCTGACAGATTAAGAAGATGTAGTCATCTTTGCTTAATCAGTTAAAGCTGAAAGTTGTATCATAATTATTACACAGCAATTTATATCTAAATGAAAAGTACAATAAATTCTATAATTTTAGAATAAGCTACCATTCAAGGCATAAAAACTACATTGCTGTTGTACAGTATAAAGATTATGAGAATTCTTTTAGTGGACGCTCTTGTGTCAGAAAGATGCAGTCATCTTTTGCTGGCAGATTAAGAAGATGTAGTCATCTTTGCTTAATCAGTTAAAGCTGAAAATTGTATCATAATTATTACACAGCAACTTATATCTAAACGAAAAGTACAATAAATTCTATAATTTTATCATAAGCTACTATTCAAGGCATAAAAACTACATTGCTGTTGTACAGTATAAAGATTATGAGAATTCTTTCAGTGGACGCTCTTGTGTCAGAAAGATGCAGTCATCTTTTGCTGACAGATTAAGAAGATGTAGTCATCTTTGCTTAATCAGTTAAAGCTGAAAGTTGTATCATAATTATTACACAGCAATTTAAATCTAAATGAAAAGTACAATAAATTCTATAATTTTATCATAAGCTACTATTCAAGGCATAAAAACTACATTGCTGTTGTATACAGTATAAAGATAATGAGAATTCTTTTAGTGGATGCTCTTGTGTCAGAAAGATGCAGTCATCTTTTGCTGACAGATTAAGAAGATGTAGTCATCTTTGCTTTATAATCAGTTAAAGCTGAAAGCTGTATCATAATTATTACACAGCAACTTATATCTAAATGAAAAGTACAACAAATTCTATAATTTTATCATAAGCTACTATTCGAGACATAAAAAATACATATTGCTGTTGTACAGTATAAAAATTGTGAGAATTCTTTTAGTGGACGCTCTTGTGTCAGAAAGATGCAGTCATCTTTTGCTGACAGATTAAGAAGATGTATTCATCTTTGCTTAATCAGTTATAAAGCTGAAAGTTGTATCATAATTATTACACAGCAACTTACATCTTATTGAAAACAAATATTTATGTACAAAGTGATATTTTTAGAAACAGCGTTGCTACACTTATTTATTAAATACTTGTTTACTATTTGCCATCAAATTCTCTTATCTTAAAAAATGTTCATTGTAAGTCTCATCCTGAACAAGAAACCCAATTTGCAAATACAATCTGACTGATACAATACAGTGTATTCGATCCTATTGGCCGTTTTCTCTATCAAAGACCAATTATATATTCTAATAGGATATTTAATAGGTAATGTTCAATGCAGGAGTGTTTTATCAGGTTGTTCAATCAATCATAAATCAATGCACTGCGAGTGTATTGAGAAGAATACCAATTAGAATAAAGATACTTGTAGATGGATAATCGAACGGAAATTTATCAACATTTTTTTAAACCTAACCAAAAGCAGTTTCGATATATGCAACTATATAGGCCCTCCGGCGGGAATTGAACCTGCGGCTCTGCAATTCCATTGGGATCGGAACTTCGAAACCTGTCTATATATAAATTACCGTATATATATACATATATGTATATATATATATATATATATATATATATATATATATATATATATATATATATATATATATATATATATATATATATATATATATATATATATATATAAACTAATTCATTGTCAGTGAGGATAAAACTAAACTTTCAAAACGTCAAATTTTCCTTGTATTTTTCAGGAATATTATACAACAGAACAGCTGCCTATAATATTCATATTATAGAATATATGTTTTGTGATTGGCGGCCGAATATTGCATGCCTTTCACATCAGTGATATTGATTTACGCTGCGTTATTATACGTTTATATGTAGACGTTTTCCTTCTGTTATTTGTTTTTGTATATAAATTATAATTGTATGTTTAATTGAGAAAAAAAGCAGACAAAAATTGTGCATTGTCCATGACCATGCATGTATTGCTTGCGTATTAATTGTCTCTTGACTTCATAATCTTACTTTACTATACCATACTCTGTACTCTCATTACATTGACAAGATATTGTGTGGTACGTACTGACCAGCTTATATACTGTCAAGGCTCCTTGGCACGCGGAAAACTTGTAAATTTTTTGTCGTATACGCGAGCAAGTAAAACTTGTCAAGGAAAAAGTGGCGAGAAAAGCTTGTTCGTCTGTTCGGTATAGGCAAGCTGAGATTTAAGAAATGGCCAGAGACAATACTGCAATGGAATAATTATATATCTTTTGATAGGGTAAGACATTTGACTCTGTTTAATATCTACAGACATTCATACACATTAGTGTCACACAGCTGATATTATGCTGTATAATGTTTAACCGAGCATAACAAATTGCTTCCCGCAGTACGCATTTTTAATAGGCCGTTTGCAGCGTCCCGATATCGTTCACTTTCGTAGTGCATGTGGTGGAACTGAAATATTTTTACGGGAACTAGCACTTTCAAACACGCTGAGTTCAAATCAGAAACGTTCCCACTCCGTAGTTCTTGCGTTTTCTCACAAACTAGTATTTTATTTTCTCTAATTTCACGACTAACTTTTTCTTTGTTCAATGACACGGATGGACGATGACACACTCTTATGTCACTCTAAAGGACTAATTTCTATTAACTAGTCTTCCTTTTAACAAAAGACCGTTTCGCTCGAATAATTTTGAATTATGTAATCTTATGCGTGTTGAACGTAAACAACATATATCGTTTACAACTTTGGGAAGGTACAGATAACGCTATCTAACATACACAGTTCTAGCGATATCTCTATAAAATCACAAGGACGTTAATGCTAAGTCGTTTGGCTATGTCACTGGCCTGATAAATAGCTCGTTTAGCGCAATCATGGTATTTAAAACAACAGTAACGCAATGCCAAAGCAACGGCAAAGACAACGCTAACATTAAATATTGTCGATGGGTTGCTGGTTGAAGACTTACGACAGGATCAATCATAAATAACCTTAAACTAGAAGAATAAATGTACACATTACAGACAAAGAACAGTACGAAAGTATAAAATCTGCTCTGTAAACTTACGACGAAGTAGAAAAATGTTTCCATAAGCTGTGTATTTGGTGATTTCAACGTATATGGAAGCTTTTTTCCCGATAATATTCGCTTATCGCGCAGAATGACACCAACTGATATAATAGTTCAAATGCAATGATAAGTTACCTCTTGAATTACGTCTCAGAAACTGTGTTGAAAATTTGAATGCTGACCCATTACATAAGATTACCGTTTTACATCGCGGTATAAACATTTTGATCGCATGCCAAGCAATTCTTTCTTAGCCCAGCGACATAGCCCAAAGACTTGACATTAACGTCCTTGTGAGTTTATAGAGATTGAGCCAAAACTGAGAATTTTAGAAAGCGATACCGGCACCTTCCCAAAGTTGTAGACAAGATTTGTTGTTTACGTCCAACGCGCTTAAATTACATAACTCAAAATGATCCAAGCAAAACGGTCTTTTGTTAAATGTAGAGACTGGATCATAGGAATTAGTCATTTTGAGTTTATCATCATCCATCCGTGTCGTTGAACAAAGAAAAAGTTAGTCGTGAAATCAGAGAAAATAAAATAGCAGTTCGTGAGAATACGCAAGGTCTACGGAGCGGGAACTTTTCGGATTTGAACTCAGCGTGTTCGACAGTGTTAGTTCCCGTAAAAAGATTTCAGTTCCAAGACATGCACTACGGAAATCGTATCCTAGGCACTTTTCAAGGCCACAGCAAACCGTCTATAATTAATAACTTGTTAATAATAGAATTTCAAACCGAGTACCTACTGTGAGTAATGAAACAAATAACCGATTGAAGAAAGTTTTTCGAATTCATTTAATGAGATAATGCGCTCTGATTTCCGGACTTTTGCATATTCAATCCGCAAAAGTTGCAATTTTTAGGCTGTGCGGGTCGTCATGAAAGGTTCCTGACGGTGAGGACAAGGTTCCTGACGGAGAGGACAAGGTTCCTGACGGTGAGGACAAGGTTCCTGACGCTGAGAACAAGGTTTCTGATAGTGAGGACAAGGTTCCTGACGCAGAGGACAAGGTTTCTGACGGTGAGGACAAGGTTCTTGACGCTGAGAACAAGGTTCCTGATAGTGAGGACAAGGTTCCTGACGGCGAGGACAAGGTTTCTGACGGTGACGCTGAGGACAAGGTTCCAGACGGTGAGGACAAGGTTCCTGACGCCAAGGACAAGGTTCCTGACGCTGAGGACAAGGTTCCTGACGCTGAGGACAAGGCTCCTGACAGTGAGGACAAGGTTGCTGACTGTGAGGAAAAGGCTCCTGATTGTGAGGACAAGGTTACTGACGCTGACGACAAGGTTCCTGACGCTGAGGACAAGGTTCCTGACGCTGACGCAAGGTTCTTGACAGCGAGGACAAGGTTGCTGACGGTGAGGAGAAGGTTCCTGACGCTGACGCAAGGTTCTTGACCGTGAGGACAAGGTTGCTGACGGTGAGGACAAGGTTCCTGACGCTAATGAAAAGGTTCCTGACACTGAGGACAAGGTTCCTGACGCCAAGGACAAGGTTCCTGACGCTGAGGGCAAGGTTCCTGACGCTGAGGACAAGGTTCCTGACAGTGAGGACAAGGCTGCTGACTGTGAGGAAAAGGCTCCTGATTGTGAGGACAAGGTTACTTACGCTGACGACAAGGTTCCTGACGCTGAGGACAAGGTTCATGACGCTGACGCAAGGTTCTTGACAGTGAGGACAAGGTTGCTGACGGTGAGGAGAAGGTTCCTGACGGTGAGGACAAGGTTGCTGACGGTGAGGACAAGGGTCCTGACGGTGAGAACAAGGTTCCTGACGCTAATGAAAAGGTTCCTGACGCTGAGGACAAGGTTCGTGACGCTGAGGACAAGGTTCCTGACAGTGAAGACAGGGTTGCTGACTGTGAGGACAAGGTTCCTGATTGTGAGGACAAGGTTACTTACGTTGACGACAAGGTTCCTGACGCTAAGGACAAGGTTCCTGACGCTGACGACGAGGTTCCTGACAGTGAGGACAAGGTTGCTGAGGGTGAGGAGAAGGTTCCTGACGGTGAGGACAAGGTTCCTCACTGTGAGAACAAGGTTCCTGAAGACGAGGACAAGGTTCCTGACGCTGAGAAGAAGGTTCCTGACGGTGAGGACAAGGTTCCTGACGCTGAGGAGGTTTCTAACGCTCTGGACAAGGTTCCAGGCGCTGAGGACAAGGCTTCTGAAGGTGATGACAAGGTTCCTGACGCTAAGAACAAGGTTCCTGACGCTGAGGACAAGGTTTCTGGCGCTGAAGACAAGGTTCCTGACTGTGAGGACAAGGTTCCTGACGGTGAGGACAAGGTTTCTGACGCTGAGGACAAGGTTCCTGACGCTGAGGACAAGGTTCCTGACGCTGAGGACAAGATTCCTGATGCTGAGGACAAGGTTCCTGACTGTGAGGACAAGGTTCCTGACGGTGAGCACAACGTTCCTGACGGTGAGGACAAGGTTCCTGACGCTGAGGACAAGGTTCCTGACTGTGAGGACAAGGTTCCTGACGCTGAAGACAATGTTCCTGACGCTGAAGTCAAGGTTCCTGACGCTGAGAACAAGGTTCCTCACGGTGAGGACAAGGTTCCGGACGCTAAGGACAAGGTTCCTGACGCTGAGGACAAGGTTCCTGGCGCTGAGGACAAGGTTCCTGACGGTGAGGACAAGGTTCCTGACGGTGAGGACAAGGTTCCTGAAGGTGAAGACAAGGTTCCTGATGCTGAGGACAAGGTTTCTGACGCTGAGGACAAGGTTCCTGACGCTGAGGACAAGGTTCCTGACGCTGAGGACAAGGTTCCTGACGCTGAGGACAAGGTTCCTTACGCTGAGGACAAGGTTCCTGACGCTGAGGACAAGGTTCCTGACGCTGACGACAAGATTCCGGACGTTGATGACACGGTTCCCGACGCTGAGCACACGGTTCCTGACGCTGAGGACAAGGTTCCTGACGCTGAGGACAAGGTTCCTGATGCTGAACACAAGGTTCCTGACGCTGAGGACAAGGTTCCTGACGGTGAGGACAAGGTTCCGAACGCAGAGGACAAGGTTCCCGACGCGGAGGACAAGGTTCCTGACGCTGAGGAAAAGGTTTGTGTTGCTGAGGACAAGGTTCCTAACGCTGAGACAAGGTTCCTGACGCTCAGGACAAGGTTCCTGAGGCTGATGACAAGGTTCCTGACGCTGAGGACAAGGTTCATAACGCTGCGGACAAGGTTCCTGACGTTGAGGACATGGTTCCTGAGGCTGAGGACAAGGTTCCTGACGCTGAGGACAAGGTTCCTGACGGTGAGGACAATGTTCCTGACGCTGAGGACAAGGTTCCTAACGCTGAGGACAAGGTTCCTGACGCTGAGGACATGGTTCCTGAGGCTGAGGACAAGGTTCCTGACGCTGAGGACAAGGTCCCTGGCGCTGAGGACAAGGTTCCTGACGGTGAGGACAAGGTTCCTCACGCTGAGGACAAGGTTCCTAACGGTGACGACAAGGTTCCTGACGGTGAGGACAAGGTTCCTGACGGTGAGGACAAGGTTTCTAACGCTGAGGACAAGGTTTCTGACGCTGAGGGCAAGGTTCCAGACGGTGAGGACAAGGTTCCTGAGAGTGAGGACAAGGTTCCTGACGGAGAGGACAAGGTTCCTGACGCTGAGGACAAGGTTCCTGACGCTGAGGACAAGGTTCCTGACGCTGAGGACAAGGTTCCTGACAGTGAGGACAAGGTTCCTGACGGTAAGCATGAGGACCCGCACGATGTGTGAAAAAATTAAGGCAAAATGTGTTCGTTCCCATGGCGTTTGTAAGGCAGACGTTTGAGGGTTGACATATACAAATTAAATTAACTCACCCAATCATATCATACTAGTGTAATTTAATAGTCCGTTTTATTCTCGGTTTAAATATTGATAAGCTACATCCAATTTAGTAATAATTTAATAATTCGTAATGGCTTAACACATTTGTCAACGCCGTAGTTGGGAGTTATAAATGCAAACACGCGCCAGTTTCGAACAAAAACCGCTGTGTGCTCAAGTCAATGTGCGAAATGTACTTTCCAGTATATTCGCATTGGTTTGACTATAGCAAGAATTAACGCGTACAATGACTTGCTCTTTGGCCATCCGAAATCTAGTAGAAAGCACGAAGGAAGCGCAACTTTCCGATTGTTCTCTAGCGACGTAGAAAAGGTATTAAATATCGCTGATCTTAAAGACCACGACAGCAAACAGCCATAATATAGATGAAGACGGCTCAGACCCTGCAGGAAACGCGGACCTAGAGCCAAGTCCAAAGCGTGTTCGAATGGAAAGACAAGAACAGGAGATTGTTTTTCTCTCCGTGCGCGCCAAAATTGCATCGCCGCACGCGTCAACAAGCGCTCTCATTAAATCGAAGGAAATATCACCACAAGAAAGGACGCGTCGCATTAAAACGAATGGCGAGCAATTCATCGGAAATCCCTGAATGTTGTTGCGTGTGCCTATACGGAGAACCCCGAGGAGAACATCAACGAAATTATCGGCATCAGAAGGCGGTCGCCGGGTATATAATATTCTGATGTTGTGATTTTGGGGCAACCGATGTGATATTTTCAAGACTCGAGGCATTAGACACGACTCTTTTGGAACAAAGCCAGTCAATTCTGCTTAAATCTATTAAAATGCCAGATTGGACTATGCTTCTTCTGAAAGTCAGAATAAAAATTTCAGACGTAGGATGGCAGACACTACTTAGTTACAGTACATAACTTGGACGCACTGGGGTATGTTGATATTTTTTTCTGTGCTGGTGTTGTGTACTCAGGTGAATATATGTTTGTGATGTTACTCTGAGTGTATATCCACACCGGGCGAGCTTGAAAAATATGCCCGGCCACTGTGGGAATCGAACCTATGACCTTTGGAATACTAGCCCATGCTCTGCCAACTTTGATATCCTCTTTCATATTTAATACAAATACATAGTCGTCTGGTCAAGTACATTTCGAAAATAGACAAAAATGTGTACAAAACACTCTCATGCATGGCCAATGATTTACCGGTAATATTAAGCGCAAGTATGAATATAAGTGTAACTGCATGATAATTGTTTTACTGCATGGTAACAGGTGGGAAATTTGTCTGAGCATGCGCGAGTAAAATGAGTCACGCAATTGTGTGGAATACACGCAACGCGTGTTTACAAAAAGCACAATCGTGTAAATATTGCAAAATGTTTGTACAAAATAAATGACTGTTTTATGTTGAAAGAGTGAACATGTTCTAAATTAATCATACAGAACTTTTTAGTGACGTTCTATTTCAGTACCCTGCCATTGTCTCTGGTGTGCTGTCCGTGTGCATTCGATCTGAAACAGTTGCTACTTTGGCAAGTCATGCATTTTACAACCTCTTAAACTGTATGAGCGCCTATTTTTACGCTTATACCCAAGATATCAAATAAAAGTACATGAAACAGAGAACATTTGTAGAAAGTTTTATCGTGAGGCCAAGGCCAGTTTTTAAAATATCTTTATTTCTGTTCCGATCATCACCAAAATTACACAAAAGCCGGATTTGAATATACAACAAATTTTGAATCGCATCTAGCACAAAAATACTTAACGTGTAACCAAAATATGCTCATGAAATCGAAATTAATAGCTAAATTTTCAAACTAGACCCTCCTCGAAGCGGTTTTCATGAAGGAAGTTCACATTTCGGCCTTTGATTCTTGGCAAAAATTTGACCACAACACGTGCGAAGCAACTGGGTCTCAAAGACTGAACTAAAACATTGTGAGCCCCTATTTTCCTAACGATATGTTTGATACCTACAAACGCCGAAAACTTTTTTCTTTTCATTTAGCTATATTTGAAATTGAGGCCACGGGCTATTTTTGAGAAAATACAGTTCAAAG